TTGGAGCTAATAATTATGCAGGGTGAGAGGTGAGGGTCTAGCTTCATTCATATACAAGTGAATGCTCATTTTTTCCAATCACCAATTGTTGAAGAGACTATTTTCTCCCTCCAATATGTATTCTTGGTATCTTTAAAAAAAAAAATCAGGTGGCGATAGCTGTGTGAGTTTACATGTAGGTTTTCTATTCTAATTTTATCAATGTATGCTTCTGTCTTTGAGTCAGGGATCATTTTAATTAGCTATTCTAGTTACTATGACTCTGTAGTACAACTTGACCAGTCACTAAAGAAATAATGTGAATGAAGGAGAAATGTGACCTCATGAAACTAAAAACATTATCTAGCAAAGGAAATAGTTGATTGAGTGATGAGACAGCCAACAGAATAGGAAAAAACCTTTGCTAGCTTTATATCTGTCAGAGGATTAATATCTAGACTATATAAAGAACACACCAAACAGCAATACATCAAACAATGCAATCAATAAATGTGTTAATGACATGAATAGATCTCAAAAGATAAAATGTGGGGGGCTTGGGTGATAGATCAGTTGGTAAAGTGCTTACTGTGGATGCATGGGGACCTGAGTTCAATCCTCAGAACCCATGTGAAAAATAGCATGATATGGTAGGTTATACTTATAATTCCAGTGTTGGGAAGGCAGATTCGTAGATACCCAAAGCTCATTGTCCAGCTAGCCTATTTGGTGAATTCTATGCCAGTGAGAGAACATATCTCAAAAGACAAAATGGATGAAGACCGAGTAATGGCACCTAAGGTTGTCCCCTGCTCACCACATGCACACACATACAAATGGGCATGGGAAAACACGTGCACCTTCATACACACATGCATGCATGCATACACACAGATCAAACCCCAAAATAGAAAGATAAAATGCAAGTGAACAACAATCATGAAAAAATGTTCAGCTTCAGTAACCATCAGAAAATGCAAATAAATCCTGCATTGTGATTGCATCTTATCCAAGTCAGAGTGATAATCATTTAAAAAATAATAAATTCTGGCCAGGATATGGATAAAAGGAAACCCTTATATACTGCTAGTGGAAATGTAAACTAGTTATAAAAATCAGTATGAAGGCTGTTCAAGAATGATAAATAGGGGGCTGGAGAGATGGCTCAGTGGTTAAGAGCATTGCCTATTCTTCCAAAGGTCCTGAGTTCAATTCCCGGCAACCACATGGTGGCTCACAACCATCTGTAATGAGGTCTGGTGCCCTCTTCTGGCCTGCAGACATACACACAGACAGAATATTGTATACATAATGAATAAATAAATAAATATTTTTAAAAAAAAGAATGATAAATAGATCTACCATATGACCCAGCTACAACATTCCTGGATATTTACCCCAAAGACTCCAAGTCAACATATCACAAAGTTTCTTATACATCAGTGTTTCATAATAGTCTAGTTATGGAACCAATCTAGGTGCCCAACAATAGGATAATGAAAAAAAATATGATATCTATGCACATGTGTATGCACATGTGTATGTATGTATTATATATGTGTGTGTATTATGTATGTATGTATGTATTTGGGGGGCCAAAAAGAAGAATGAAGTTACTTTGTTGGAAAATGAATTCAACTACAGATGTTCAATTAAGCAAATGAAACCAGTCTCAAAATGCATCATATGCTTTTTTCTCATTTGTAGTTTTTAGATTTATATATAGATTCATAAAATCAGGTACACGATGAAAATAGGAGTGAAACTTTCAAGAACAAAAGAGACCAACAGAAGAGAACACTGAGAAAATGGAGGTATTAGGGCTCATGTGTGCTGTAGGAACTCCTTTAAGATACCAGTCCACTTGGGTGTGGCCTCTTATACTATAAATGCCAATGTAAAGCTCATGCTTGCATCCCCCCCCCCACTCCCTGCTTCTGGATTCGGTTTCTGTTCCCTGTTTGTGCAGAGGATTGTGATTTCTGAGTCTACCACTAAATAAATAACCCTTTATTACACTCAATTCTAGTATGAGATTATTTTTATAACTTCCATCTTCATCTGGTGCCCAACATGGTCAACTCGATCCACATAAAACCTGAGAGATATTGGAAAGTAATTCTAGACATAAAAGAACAGAGTTGAGCATAGTTTCTTGGTAGCAGCATTTTCTCAGGTGGGCTTTGTTTGCTAGAAGCAAGCGCGTCTCATTTAAGAGAGGCTTCCTGACTCAGCTTTAGCTGCAAAAATCTTGCAGTTCTTTTAAGAGGCCCCACCACCGAACACTTAAAATATGTTTATAAATAGCCAACAGCATGATTCTTGGTGGTGGCAGGAATCTTGAAACTCTATGGAGTTGTGGCAATAAACATGGCTCCTTCCAGTAACTCCACCATGAAGCTAGACTCTCAGAAAGCTAAGGAATGGGGTGGATCCAATCATCAAAGCCATGGCTTTAATCCTGGCCATATCACTTAGCAAATTAAAGACTCATATGGTCAGAAAAAGAGAGATATACAGTAAAGATAGATTCAGATAAAAAAAAAAACCTCTAAATGGTTTAGAGTATGTTTTAAAAAATATACATAGGCTTGGGAGAGAAAAGAAAAAGGACAGAGTACTTAAAAAAAGAAAGAATGAGAATAGTTGGATGTGGTAGCACACACCTTTAATACCAGTACTTGTGAGGCAGAGGCAGGTGGATCTCTGTGAGTGCAAGGACAGCCTGGTCTACAGAGTGAGTTCCAGGACAGCCAAAGATACACAGAGAAACCCTGTTTCAAAAAAACCAAAAACTAAAAATAAAAATAAAAGAAATAGAGTTCAAAATAAAGCCACATAAAGATGGAAACTACACAGAGAATCTGGATACTGTATGTTATTATGTTGTCTTTGAATTGTTTGACAGCTGAGGAAGGAGCAACAGCTGCTAAAAGACATTTGATTATAAATGCTGCTGGATTAATACAACCTATATGTTTTGGATAATAGGAGAGTGCTGTTTCTGGCAATATAATTTTGCTATATTTTACATTCTAACTACGTACAAGGTGTCATTTTTTGTAAACAAGATTTAACATTTAATGAAAATAAGGACTGAGGAAGTAGAAAGCAGTTGTCTTCAAAGAGAAGGGAAATACAATGACAACTATGGGGAATATGAGGTAGAAGAAAATTGTGGTTTTTTAAATTTTGTTTTAGGCTATGGAGACATGAGTGGGCCTAAAAGCGGATGTGAAACCAACAACTGTGTGGAAAATTGAAGCTATAAAAAATAAGGATGCACATAGCCAAATCACAAATGAGGAGACAAGTCTTTTATTAGAACCAGAAGGAAGGTGGAAGTAAGGCATATGCACATAACTACGTCTAGAAATTTGATACGAGAACTTAAACATTATCATTTATACTTAACACTATCTATATAATTTGGCAAGCATGAGCAGAAACACAGCAGTGTTGAAATTTAGGGTGAGTACAATAAGATTTGAAATAGCATTGTGGAGCTGGATTGAAAAGGAAGCTGACCATAGTAACAGAGTTAGTACTGCACGCTCAGTAGTGTGGTGCATACTTGGTTGTGTGATTTTTCTCTACCAAAATTCAGAAAGTCAAATACAGGCATGGGAAAAGGTGGGCTGATTCAAGTTTGGGATTTTGTCAGACTGGGCGATGGGAAGGAGAATTGGGAAAAGAGAGAGAGTGGCTGAAGTGATAAACCGCAAAGCCCAAATAAGCATAGAACAAAGTAGAGACAAGAGGTCACTCATAGAAAATAGGACAGTGTATCTATGAGTCAAGAGTTAGAGATCTCAATAAAGTTGAATTTAAAAAGAGGTTGTGGTTAGAAAATGTGATACTTTAGTTTATGATTGTGTGATTCTGAGTGATGAGGATGAGATGTGGTTCAGGACACGACTGGATAAAGAGAATCCAAGTTGGGAGTCTCTGGAGAAGGTATAAGAGAAGGTGGATGACTAGGTGGTTAGAGTATTACATGGGTTAGTTGTCTGAGTGAACTGACCAAGATTAATGGCACTACCAATGGGAGGAAGATCGTGATTTTAAAAGCCAGTCTTCAATGAAGGCGAGTGAAATATGTAAAGGAGATCATATCTGGCCTAATGGTCTACTGTAACCTCTTGAAGGATTGGTGGCTTTACTGGACAATGATTTCCTTTAGGAGCATTGACTCTGGGACAATAGATAGACTATTAATGATCCAAGAGTTCTCTGACACTCTGGAGCAATGTTCATGACATTAATTTTCAAAGGACCAAATGATTAAACAAAAGCCCAAGAATTACTATTCTAAGGAATTTCTGCAAGAAAAACCAAAATGCAAACATTAAAAACTGTATATACACCTATGCACATACAGACAACAACAATAAATGAACTCAGTGGTTTGGAAAAAAGAGAACATATGAAGTAGGGAAGGAAAACAGGGGGCTAGGAAAGGAATTCAAGTCAAGGAAGTAGGAGCGAATTTGATTTATTTTTTTAAAAGTACATAGGCTTAGGAAAGGCATACCCTATCAATGCAATCCAGAGTTTCTATTCCATACACCATAACTATAACAGATTGCTCAAGACCTAGCAGGAAGCTTAAGGCTGTGTATTAAAACAGTGGTGGGGGGCTGGAGAGATGGCTCAGTGGTTAAGAGTACTAACTGCTCTTCCAGAGGACCCAGGTTCAATTCCCAGCACCCACATGGCAGCTCACAACTGTCTGTAACTCCAGTTGCAGGGGATCTGACACCTTCACACCAATGCACATAAAATAAAGTTAAATAAACCATAAACAATATTTTAGAAAGAAAGCTGGTGGGCTGCAAAGACAGAGGAAGGGGTCAAGATATCTGCAGGGTAATTTATCACTGAGGCTCAATTATTTACCTAGCTGGTAAAAATCTTCAGGTGGCAGCTACTGTACAATGGCTGAAGAGAATTAAGTGACTTTAAGCCAGCCCCCTTTCACAAGAGCGGGCATTTCAAAAGAATATAAGGAGCATATATACCTTTCAGCAATATTTCTTGCAGATTGCAGAAACCGGGCTTGGTCATTTTCCTTCAGAATATGCTCAGCTTGGTTGATGAGGACTGTTGACCGTTCAAGACACTGGCGGCAATTAGCAACCTGCTGTGCCAATTTTCTCAGTTTCATAACCTTAAAAGATTGGGAAGAGAAAAGATGAGATACAACATACTGTGCTTAATTAAAAGCAATAAAATACCATGAAGGAGGTCTGCCCCAGTGATTCTAAAAGTAAGGGTTATTAATATCGTATGGCCCCTACATCAACTGTTCACCTTCTCATCCTGGCTGCTAAGTCTCTTGCCCAGTCTATAACTTGATTACTTACTTTGCACTCAGGCATTTCTCTACTATCTACCTCCTCTTTGTATTTACAAGATGGTTCTGATTGTAAAAGCAATGCACGCTAATTTTTAAAAAATTAAATACAAATATAAAAAGAAATTCTACCACCTAGAGATCACCATTGTTACATTTTATTTTGGCAATATATTTTTGCATACATTTAATAAAACTCCCCCATTTTTATTTATGAGAAGTTATATTTCCAAGCATATATTTCTCTAAGTATCTTTACACCTACTACAATGTATTCTTGGAAACTTCAGTTTATGTTAGCTGGAACTACCCAGCATGGCACAAAGTATTGGTCATCAAATGAGGTACTTTCAACTTTTCCCATTGTACCCACAGCATGGGCTTTTAATCACTATCATTTACCAGTAGGCTAACAAGTCTAAAAACATACAGAGGCTGCATGGAGACTTTCATCTGACCTCTTTAACCCTTACTCTTCAGTTCCCTGCATAGAAATCTGCAGTTCTTTGATTCTTTTCTCTGTTATAGCTAATAAATTAAATGATGCTGTTTTCTCTCTAGCAATTATGCTTTTCCTTTCCATATGTTCTATCACTAGCCTGGTTTACATCTTCTAGAACTCATACCAGAAATCATTGCATGTCTGCAAACTTGATTTCTTGGCATCAATATCATGTTTTGATCTACCATGCACATCTCTACCATATCAAATTGCATCCTCCCTACAGAATCACAATAGTTTCCCAGCACCTTTTGTAAGGCTCAAGCAGCCAAGATGGCAGTCACATTTCTTCTGTAATCCCAACCCATGTTTCTACCATTCTTCCTTTCTTTTTATTACCTTAAAATATGGAGGGTAAGGGGTTGGAAAGATGGCTTAGTGGTTAAGAACAGTGATTACTTTTCCAGAAGACCTGGGTTCTATTCTTAACATCCACATGTTTGCCTACAACTGACCTTAACTCCAGTCCCAAGAGACCCCGTGACCTCTTTTGGCCTCCAAGGACACTGCATGCACATGATACACAGACTTACACCCAGGCAAAACACCCATACACACAAAATAAATGTTAAAACATTTAACTGAAAACATGCTAAAGCAAAATGCCTCAATCTTAAGTAAATGATCATCCGTGTGCATGCGTGCACACATAACCAACATCCAGGCCAAAGTAGAGAATGTTTGCAGCGCCCAGAGCTGCCATCACTTTTTATCAGACTCAGCAAACACTTCTTGGTGTCTCTCCCAATGATCTCATTTCTTTTTGATTTTCTGATTCAATTTCAAACTGCAATAGTCAGGAATGAGCTTTGTAAAAGGCCAGCTGCGTGTTTGGCCTCCCTGAAGCTCTGGGGTTTACCTTTGTCTCTTTGATTTTGACAGCAATCATTTGCTTCCTCTGCTGGATGATCTCTACCAACTCGTCACATTCTTCCATAAGTTTTGCCTCATGCATAGCCGTATTCACCTGCCAAGAAAGGCCAAAGTATTAGAAAAGGATTGTTGCTTTGGTCTCCTGCTGCATCTAAAAGGTTCGGACTGATGGCTAAACATGCACAACTTCTTCCAGACCTCCCTCAATAAGATCCACTCCTAGAAGAAGGGTAGAGATGATGACATCAATGATGCAAGAGTATTGAAGCAGCACAGTTAGGAAGCTCTCCAGGCCTCTGGTAGGTCCTGATGGTTAATGGAAAGCTGGGCAGAAGGACAGATGAGATGGGGGCCTGTCATTTCCACTGTGCAAATCCCTTTACTCAATCATCTGTCCTCCTGCTGTTCTTTCGAAAAGAAGGATAGAAGATGCATGTGTTTCAAGGGAAGAAGATCCTCTTCCACAGGCACAATAATATTAAGATTACAATGCAACAACATATTTCTATGGGCTTAAAATGCTTTCCATTTTCCTCGTTCCCTTCTGATTTTAAATATGAGAATGTGCAGATCTATTTTCACATGAAACATATGAATGTGTAGATACTTTTTCACATAGCTGTCATAATGTTTTACTCATATTTCTTGGCTTAGAGAAAAAATTCTATCCAATATCTAAATACTTTTCCTATTTTGAGACACTGTCTACATCAAAATATCTCTGCCGCAAAGTCAAGAGGGAGTTGAATCAACAGCCACTACTCATTGTCTTTCTGTGGACAGATCTCTTCTTCTCTTCCTCTCTAATACTCTTGATAATGGATGGAATGAAGTCCAGATGCGGTGCTAAAATGGATGTAGGAGATCATGGGACTCCCCAAATATAATGGGGAAAGAAGAAACAAGTATCTGACTGCTTTGAAGCAATCTATATGCCAAACACTACACAGAAAAATAATTCATGTATTAAATTATAATTATAAGTTTTTAATACAGAAGCTGTTCTTTTCTTTCACTTCACAAATGCAGAAACAAAGGCTTTGAGAATTTTACTAGCTTGCTCCAGATCGCAATGCTAATTAAGTGGCAAAACCATATTTCAAATTGAGCTCTTTGAAATGAATGCCTGAGCTGGTTGAGAAGGAACATCGGCAGGTGCTGGCAAGCAAGTTTCAGTTCCATTTCTGCGGCACACAGAGCAGTGACACAGAGAAGTACAATTATCCCAAGAGTCTATTCAAGGACCACTTGAGCAGAGCTCTAGAAAGCTGAGAAATATACAATGATTTCCTTGAGAGCATCAAAACCCAAGCAGTTAGATTGCTGTATTAGCTGGGGAGGAGGGGCTGTACTGTCAGTCACTTGCTCTCTTCAAAATATTCCTATACATATTTCAAATTCAGTAAAATATCCATCCCTGGGCCCTGCTATCTCCTCTCTCCATCAGCCCTGCTGGATATTTTTAAATGGTTTTAATAATTATTTTAGAATTCCATATAGTGTATTTTGATCATATTCACCCTCAACTACTTCCCCTAACTCCTCCCAGATCCACTCCTACCCTCTTTAGCTTCCTGTCTTCTTTTCTTTTTTTTTTTATTTTTTTTTATTTTTTAAATTTATTTATTTATTAAGGATTTCTGCCTCGTCCCCACAACCGCTTCCCATTTCCCTCCCCCTCCCCCGATCAAGTCCCCCCCCCCTCATCTGCTCGAAGAGCAATCAGGGTTCCCTGACCTGTGGGAAGCCCAAGGACTGCCCACCTCTATCCAGGTCTCGTAAGGTGAGCATTCAAACTGCCTAGGCTCCCACAAAGCCAGTACGTGCAGTAGGATCAAAAACCCACTGCAATTGTTCTTGAATTCTCAGTATTCCTCATTGTCCGCTATGTTCAGCTAGTCCGGATTTATCCCATGCTTTTTCAGACCTAGGCCAGCTGGCCTTGGTGAGATCCCAATAGAACATCCCCATTGTCTTAGTGTGTGGGTGCAAAGACAAACACATAGGCATCCTCAGGAATATTAACCTTCATCAGGCGATGAAAGGAGACAGAGACAGAGACCCACACGGGAGCACCGGACAGAAATCTCAAGGTCCAAATCAGGAGCAGAAGGAGACGGAGCACGAGCAAGGAACTCAGGACCACGAGGGGTGCACCCACATCCTGTCTTCTTTTCAAAACTTAAAAAAAAAAAGAAAATAACCCACAAAGTCCAATTTGTACTGCCCACATAATACTAGGCTGGGACCATCCACTGAAGTGTGGTCAATCTACCAGGGACGACACCTTTTAAAAAAAACACAACTGATTCTTCTTTCTGAGAAGTCTCCAACTGAACAGAGTTCCTTGGTTCTTGCTGGATAGTGTTATATTTCTTTTCTTAAAGGTTTTTAAATTTTATGTGCATGAGTGTTTTATCTTCATGTGTGTATGTGTACCATGTATGTTCCTGATGCTTTGCTTTATGATAATCATTATCCCCTTTGCACTACCCATCTTCATTCTGAAATCCATTTTTCTTCAATCATTTCAGATTTCTTATTGTTCTTTTAGAAGGCCATGAATTTGTATGCCCTATATTTTTCCTGAGATTATGCTTTTATTTAACAAGGCATATCCTCATTTATTGAATAAACTTATATTTATCTTCCAAGGACAAACTCAGTCATCAGGACAAACTCAGTAATCATCCCTTCTGTAACTTTTTCTCACTGGTAACTGCACAATCAATTACGTTCCCACCTATATTTACATATATTTTCCATATAATTCAGTAATTCTGCTTACTATTTCATATCACTGCAATTTTATTAGAGCGTCTTCACCACTTAATCATAAAGTCTGGAGGCAGAGACTGTGTTTTGTCTATCTCCAGAATAGAGAATGGTATATAGTACACACTATGTCAGTATCTGTTGGAGTGAATGGAATGGTAATTTCCCCCAAAGCATCTTTTACTGCTTGTGTGATACGTCCAGTTGGTTCTCTGTTCTATATATGATATCTAAAGATTAACTTTTCATTTTCCCTCCATGTCTACTCTCCACTTTTGATTTACTATCTTTTATCAATAATGTTATTACAGTTACTTGGGTTTAGTAACTTCTTTGAAAAAAGCTTTTTATTTTAATTTTGATATTATTATATAATCACAATTTCCCCCTTCCCTCCTACCTCTTCCATATACCCCTCCTTACTCACCTTCAAATTCATGGCTTCTTTCTTCACTAATTGTTGTCACATGCATATATATAATATATATACACATATATAATTCTAACTATATATGTATAATGCTACTTGTATGTAACTTTTCAGGGTTCACAATTTGGAATTAGATAACCAACCGGTGTGCACTTCCATGGGGAAGATTATTTCTCCCAATTTTAGCAGTCCTTAGCTGCCTTTGTGTAGTGTTGAGGCCTCATGGTCTTTCCCCCATCCACCTTGGCATGTATATTGTTGTCCTTCCTCAGTTCACGTCTAGGAAGTCATGTTGGTGAGACTTTATGGGTGTGGCATCTGAGATCACTAGGGAAGAGCAAACTTGTTCCTCATAGTCCCATGTAAATTTTCAGCAGCCCCAAAGCCCTATTGTCATTTCAATCTCCCTAAAGTTTCTCTAGTATAAAATGAGAATTTGAGTCAAGTTGCAAATACATTGAGTCCTTTATTACCCTTTGCACACTTTTGAAAAGGCCTCTTTAACTAAGCTCTCTGCTCTCAAAGTCATTGTTATTGCCTGCAGCCCCATAACTCTTCCTTTGCCTTCTTCATCAAACATTTATTAAGCACCTTTTGTGGAATGCATTCTGCTAAGGCCCTGTCTTCAAACAATTAGCAATGTAGGTGAGGAAGAATGGGGTATATGCATGTATGCATACATGAGAGAGGGAGAGAAAGAGAGAAATCAAAGTAGCATAAGATAAATGTCAACAGAGCCATGCCAACTCTAAACACAGAAACTGAAAGAAAACACCATTCTCTTAGTGAGCAAGTGGAAAAGATCCCAGAATGAGATGGGATGTGTTAGAGATTTAAAAGTTAAAAGGGAAGAACATTTCAAACCAAGCAACAAGGCTTGAATGAGACACCATGTCAAGAACTTTATTCTATATGCAATATTATATTCTTAAAAATATTCTTTTTTAAGAGTTATTTTTTATTTTTATGTATGCATATGTGCCTGTGCCTGCTAGTGGGACACCCACAGAGGCCAGAAGAGAAAGGAGCTGGAGTCACAGTGGTTGTAAGCTATCTGACATGAAAGCTTAAGAACTAAACTCTAGTCTTCTGAAAGAACAGTAATCTCTCCTAACCACTGAGTCATTTCGCCACCAAATATTCTTGAGGAGAAGAAAAATAGGATGATGGATGTCTTCAGTTAACTTTTTTTTAATGAAGAGGAAATATCATTATTGGCACACCAACATGGGCCAGCTACATTCACATAAAACCTGAGAAAGCTTAGAAAGAAATTATAGACACAAAAGAACAGAGTTAAGCATGGCTTCTTGGTAGCTGGCATTTTTTTCAGATGGACTCTGTTTGCTGGTGGCGAGCAGGAGTGCTGAGGTTCCTTTAAGAAAAGGCTTACTGACTCAGCATAAGAAATGGTGGCTTCCTGGTTCTGGCAGCACAAATTCAGGCTCTTTTAGAAGGCCAAGTACTTGAACGGGGTTTTCGGGCAGCATGCTGCAAGTTACTTGGTAGCAGCATGGGCCAACTGGCCCCCACCCAGTAGTCTCAGAAACAGTGAACAGACCTCGGCCATGTTAGACTGGATGGGGCCAAAAGGCAAAGCAGCCTTAGTCCTTACCATGCTGCTCAGCATTTTAAGGAACAGTACTGGTCAGAAAATGATTACAAATATGCAATAAAGACAAATTTAGATGGAAAAGACCTCTAAATGGGTCACAGTGTTGAATAAATATATGTAGGCTTGGGAGAGAGAAGAAATAGTTATAAAACCAAGTAAATAGTTTGAAAAAAGTAAAGACTTTAAAGAGACAGAGTACAGACAGTCATAGATTAAAGGAGTAAAGGAACATACGCCACATAAAGATGGAATATACACAGAGAATCTGAATTAT